GACGGTAACTGCTAAACTTGTACGATATTGGTTTGTATGTCGATTGGTTTGAAATCCTTCGTGGTTTCACGGACTACCGGGTTATACGGGCTTAAGTTTGCTAAATTATCTGCTTCGGCGGAAGATTTTCTTACTTAATCTCGAATAATTGGTCGGTTCTGTTACACGGAACCCACGGCCTCGGGGTCGGACGAGGCGGAGCCCTCCCCTAGAGGTCGGGCAAAGCGGAGCGCGCGGCCTCGGGGACGGGCGATGCGGAGCCCGCGTACCTAGAGGTCGGTTAGAGTTGTAGTCGCGCTCTTGACTGCTCGGATAGATTGATATTAATGATCTTTAGCTCCTCCTCTTTGGACATCCCTAGTATTGTTCCCCGATACATGACGCTGCGGCTTTTGGGAACCAAGCTCTCGGAGCGAATCTTGCCATGTCATGACCTCTTGAAGGGGCTGCGCCCGCTCCATGCAAGGCCTAAGACGACTGTCATCTCGTCGGTAGGTGCTTGCTTGCTCTGCCTGAGTACCAATGGTCTAGATTGTTCCCTGACATTCAGCATCTACATGTCTCAAATTTCATCATTGATTGTTTGATTAATTATGATTTCACGCAAATTCTGTCGAAACAGTCCGGATTGCCTCAATGGGGTTTCTTTCTTTTTCAGGTAGAGGACAGCTTCGCCTCTGGTTGACCACCTAGAGCCAAGAGGCTGCCGTACCATCAGGCTTCCTGCCGCCCTCCCGTGTTCACCGTGGAAGGTATATACTAGCCGCTACTTCTTGTTTTCGTTTTTCATCCGTTTTGTCGAAAAGCTCATGCCTAGTTCCCTTGCACTATCTTTCAATATTGCAACGTATTTTAAGATTGCATTGCAACTTAAAGACTGATGTGCTGGAAGGATGATGGGTTCATCTGTAATCTTTTTGTTTACACAGTTCAATTTGTTATATGCATCAATTAACTGATGTCCTTGTCCGTTTTATTTGATTCTGATCACACTCATCAGGTCCTGCCCGGAACTTCTTCAATTCATGGAAAAAGAAACTTTGCTTCAGGCGCTTCTACCACTGAAAACGTTCTGAAGGTATACTGTTGCACTCACGCTTCTTTCTGTAATAACAGCATTAATTGAACACTTCTCAAATGACTACCAAGCGCACAGGAGGAACATATATATAAAAACTCTTGTCACAAGATTTGTAGCACATGTTGGATTTTGTTATAGTGTGATTAATTGATTATATAATAACATGGATACAGTTTTAATCAGATTCCTAAATAACAGCAGTTTCATGTTACCAATCTTACTGAAAAGGCTCGTCTAAAGAAAACTTACTGGAAAGATCTCCTAAGCAAATATTTTTGATGTCTCGCCAAAAGAAGTTAATTATGATGTGCTCTTTTGATAAGCAACTATGATATGACTCGGTTTAATGATTGATTGGCAACTATTAACATGCCGCTATACTTTCAAGAGAACCTCCTAGATTGATGCATGCTGAGATGGTCCAACTAATTAAGGCATAAATACTAGTATAATATTTAAGCCGAATCCTCACTCAAAAACAATTTTTGAATCTGTATTACGTTTGTTTCTTTATTTTTGAAGGACGATGCAAACTATTTTCGAACCTGGCTCCTGCTCTGAAATAAATAAAGAAAAATTACTTTTTTCATCTTATTCGGTTGAAATATCCCAATAAATCTTGCATTGACAAGGAAGAGTCTGAGCTGCTGTGTTTGCCGCCGCAGATGAATTCGTTCAAGAAGAGCTCCAGTGCACCAGGAAATGATAAGTGTCCAAAGGTGGAAGCAGTAGAACGATGTGAATGCGATTATTGCTCAAGGTAAATTTGTTCTCTGTACTAGTATCGTCTTCCATTCAACAAATATGTTTTTTCTTTTAAATTCTGAGTGTCTTATTCTTTAGTCTGTTCGCTTTTTGGTTTCACCCAGGGCTTATCAGCTAGCCAATAGTATTTTTCTCTCACAACAAACCAGCACCAGCCAGTCTTATCAGCCCAGGAACCAACCAACGAACAAGCCGAACACTCTTCACAGTCAGCGCGACATTGGGAAGTTCCTTGAGCGCCTCTACACCTTCGGAACTTGGATGTATTGCATCGGTATAGTTTGGATTGTACATGAAATCATCCAACTACGACGCAAGTTTAAGGCCTTGGATTCGGATGACTATGAAATTGTCCAACTACGACGCAAGTTTAAGGCCTTGGATTCGGATGACCATTAAACGTGCAAGATCCAATGGCCTCTTCCTCCACAGCTTACTTATACTCCCTCCATCCCAAATTGTAAGTCATTCCAAGAATCTTGGAGAGTCAAAGTTTTTCAAGTTTAACTAAATTTATATAACAAAATAATAATATTTATCATACCAAGTAAGTATCATTAGATTCTTTATTAGTTATATTTTCATATTATACATATTTGATGTCATCAATCTTTGTGTTTCTCTCTATAATTTTAGTCAAACTTGAAAAAGTTTGACTCTCCAAGATTCTTGGAATGACTTATAATTTGGGATTGAGGGAGTATCATGGTTTGTAGTACGGGGAAGTTTGCTTATATACGGTGGTATACCATCATGGTTCCTCAGTATGTCATTGAAATTGGGAAACCCATTTCCATGTAAAGTTTTGTCTCTACCTTTTGGTCAAGACAGACGAGGCATTTTACCTCTAGGAGGAATTGGATTCATTGTTTCTTGAATCTTAAAACCACATTTTATTTTGACCCCCATATCCCATCGCATCCGCGGTGTGGCGGACCACCCAAACAAGCAAAGAGTACAAAATCATGGCAGAGATCAAAGCAATTTTGTGTCAGGTCCCATCTCCAAGAGACTGATAATATGAATTCGTATGGATAAGTCGGTCTCCGCTAACTGTATCTGCAATACGCCTATCATTGATGTTAGATTAGATTAGATGTACATATATCATTATATACTTTTGTACCAAAAATATGAGAGCACAACAAAAACAATTTGACATTTACATATAAATCTACTATTCATCGACCGACAAAACTATATCACGTATAAAACTAATTGCAACAAAAAAAATAAAAGAATTGTTCATGGACCGACACATTTATACATGATTTTTTTATACACCCTTCATCCAGTTATAGCTAGGTGCCTAGGTTAGGGTTACCTCTACCAAATGGCAGGGCTAGCCTCAGCTGACTGGGTGTTATCCGATACGAAAGTTATGATATGAGTTGGAGTTGGAGAAAAGTTTTAAAAACTTTTTTTTTAATAAGGAATTGTTGTTTGAGAAAAAAATCAAGGAATTGTTCTACCAATATGTTGGATGGGTATTTTTTTTTCTTTTTTCTTGTAAAAATGTTAAATTGGGAGCTCATTTAGAGCATCTCCAATAGTTCCCAAAAAAATTGATAAATCAATGAGTTTTTCAAGTGCCTAAAAAGAGTTAGCCACATATTTGTTGGTTCTTCAACGGTTTTCAAAATCTGAATCCTAAAATATAGAATATAACTTTGCATAAAAAATTCCAGACTATTTGTAAGTCGTCCTAACTATTTTTATACTTTTTTCTCTTATACATTTGCATCAGGAATCCTTTCTTACTCTTTATTCTTCCCCACGTCCTTCCACCTTCAGATTGGTCCATGAATACGTATATATCGTCCCAATCAGATCGATTTTCCAAGTGCAGAAAGATTAAGATTTGAGATAGGGAGTTGTTGGAGAGTAGTTTTTTTAGATCTTGCCAAAGAATCAAGATTTTTTTTGAGACGAAAGAAGAATTGTATTAGATAATAGTTGGGTACATCAACACGTTACAAAGCATTCTAGAATACACTACATATATCCAGAAACAGATTTTTGTCTAAATTGTACCTACGCTGTGAGTAGCTCAAAATCTCAAAACCAAACCTGTATGACGCTTCGTATGAATGACCGCACAGGCAAACACTAGACAAAAGGCCTGAGAACATATGCCCAACGAACGATGGCCAACATTCCTGCATGCGGAGTTGAGAAGCTTCTTCTTTCTTGTATCTTCATTCATCTTTCTGCCACCGAAGAATAAGGAAGACTCATCTGAAAATTATTCTCCCTAGTCCTTCATTATGGCTAGATCTAATCACGACAAGATTAGGAAGTGGGTTTTGGAAACTCTTGGAGATGCTCCTACAAAGTTCATGGAGTTGCTCACTAAAAACGAAAAAAAGAGTAAAACCATTTTAAATTTGACCATGTTTATTAAAAATATTAATGTTTATTTCACACTAAATACATTAGATTTATTATAAGATATATTTTAATTGTATAAGTATTTTGTATCACTATATACTCAAAATGGTATATGAGGGAGTGTATGTCAATATTTTTTATAAACTTGACCAACATATATATCTGATTTGACTTTGAAATTAGGATAGAACTAAAACAGTACTTCTTTCTTATATCAAATTATAAGATGTTTTGAATTTTTTGATACATTATTTTTACTATACGTTTTTATCACGAAGATAGCAGAATCTATGCACAAAAGGTGGGCAATCACAATTCGACAGAGTTGGCACATCTGATTTTTTTAGATACTATTTTAGCATTACTTTTAACAATGTTTTTCTCTTATAACAAATCAATATAAACATTAACATTAAGCTAAATTTTAGCGAAACAAACAGTCGAACAGGCCACTACACCCGGGCTGAACGGTCCTCGGAAGAACAGGACACGTAGGACCGGTCCACTGCGACATCCCATCCGGCCATCGTGCCACGAGCTGTCACGGTAGCGTCAACGCTTGACGCGTTGGGCAGCCACCTCGCGTGGGTTCGAGCCAAACTCCACGGCCGCACCACCCCCTCGAGTCGATGTTGAGCTCGCTCAGATAAAAAGCCCATTTGAAAACTCTGCTCCTGTTTCCGCACAGTGAGGCCACGTCGTAGGGTTTTGCTTGCTTCGCCCGGCGGTAAAGCGGAGCGCGGCCACCGCCGCGCGCCCGCCCATGAAGATCGGGCAGTACCCCGCGAGCAGCTGCTCCAAGGAGCACCAGAAGGTCTACCAGGAGTGGTTCGCGCTCGCGGACGCAGGTCCGATTTCCCTCTGCTCTCTTCTGTTCCCCCTCGATCCCCAATCCCCTTCCCACTGTTGTGTGCCTGGATGTGTGGTCTTCTAATCGACGGTGTTGCAGATGGGGATGGTCGCATCACGGGCCCCGACGCGATCAAGTTTTTCGGCATGTCCAAGCTCTCCCGCCCCGACCTCAAGCAGGTGCTGGCTCTCGCTACTAATCCCCTTCCTGTTTTGTTCTGCTTGTGGAACTATTGGTTTTTATATATGTGCCATTTTTGTCTAACTGTGCTGCGATTCAAGGTCTGGGCTATCGCGGACACCAGACGGCAGGGGTACCTGGGTTTCCCCGAATTCGTCACGGCGATGCAGGTTTTCCCTCGTCTATTTGATGTTTCTGTTGTGCTCTCTGTCTCCACTAGGTGATTTGGGTTATTGTTCGTTACTAATGGGCTTGTTTCAATTGGCAGCTAGTCTCTCTGGCACAAGCAGGGAATGAGATTACTCAAGATAGCCTTAAACGCGATGGTTGTTGCTAGCCTCCAAATCAAGCCTACTTGATTGCATTATGCTTATTTATTTACTGCTAACAAGTTTAAGGTTATATCTGACAGATTTGGTCAGTTTGAATCCACCTGTGATGGAAGGTTTGGATGCCCTACTTGCGGTAATGCATTACTATGTCCTTACAGTTTTTCTTTATCGAATTTGTGCTTTATCTCAATGGCTTGTAGTAAATATGATGGCAACTGCTTTCAGAAATCTAAGCATTTGGTGAAGCGTGTTGATCCAGAAATGGATGGTAAGTAATGCACTCTTTAACAGGAAATTCATGCTTGGGGGAAATCTATGATACAAACCATTTTTTTTATCCATGCAGGATACCCTCAGGAACAATCCCATTTAACAAACAAATGGTTCAGCTCAACGTCATCAAAGAAGGTAATACTCATGTAGTCTTGCCATCTTCACAATTTTCTTCTGTATGCTCCTAGAATATCGCTCTTGTGAATATCTATTGCATATCAGCACCAAAGGAACTTTTGAGGAAAATTCTGTTATATCCTCATTAGTGAGCATATGTTGATAGATCAGTTATCTGTCTTTTTACGTTAGCAAAAGGAAAAGGCAGCAAGTTTACTTGTTTAGCTTGTGTAAGCTTCTGTAGCTGGTTAACTATTTATTTTAATTGTATCTTGTCTGTTAACGAGCTTGGAAACAATATGATGCATGTAAGTTGTCTCAAAGGAAGCCCACAGTCCACCAAAATGTTTGTAAGACAACATAGCTCTCGGTACTTGTGTTTCTATTATGCATTATTAAGCAACAGAGATATTTTTGTGCCAATTTTAAGACCTTTCCCTATATAAAGAAATGCTGTCAGTTGACCCTAGTTTTGTCAATGACACATTTATCATTATTGCTGATCTTTCCTTTTATGGTGTTATATGTAAACAGATACCTCTGACTGCTGTTACTTCTGTCATTGATGGCTTGAAAAAACTTTATATCGAAAAGTTAAAGCCTTTGGAAGTTACATACAAGTTCAATGATTTCGTCTCCCCTTTGCTGGTACATACTGTATTCCCATTTTCTGGATACTTTAGGAAACAGAAATGACTACTTTCCTGTGTAATCTACGCCATCATTATTGTTGTTTCCTTCTTATTTTGTTCAAAATAACTCCCTTTCATGCAGAATATTGTTAATCCTTTTTTTTTTGTGTGTGTTGCAGACAAGTAGTGATTTTGATGCAAAGCCAATGGTTATGCTCTTAGGTCAATATTCTACTGGTAAAACAACTTTTATCAAGCATCTGCTAAGAACAAGCTATCCAGGTTTTTTTACCTACCAGATGTACCTTCTATAGTTTCCCAGGTTTGTTCAAGTAACATGCTGTGTGACAGTTTATGTTTTGCATTTGCAGGTGCCCATATTGGACCAGAGCCAACAACAGACAGATTTGTAGTTGTCATGGTAAACTGAACAAAACTTAGGATTTCTCTTTGTAGGTATAATAGGTGCATCAAATGATTTAAACTTCTTATTATGATTTGTGAAGTAATTTTAGTTGAAATGATGAACGGATGAAGCAATCCAACATTTTTCTCAAAACTTTGGATAGGGAATTTACATCGTTAGTTGCCTATGGGATCCCTCCTAAGATGTTGGCTTTACAGATTTTAGAATCACATAGTAGTTGATAGATAATGACACAGATTGGAGTATGACGTTATGCCTTTGAATATCGTCACAGTTTTCTATATATAGTTTGTAAAATCGTCAAGAGCATGTAAAGAGTTTTCTACATAGTAAATAGAACTTTAAGGGTATAGGCTGATCTAGGTTCTCTATTTGGTAGAAGTATTAAAAGTATTAAAAAAAATAGTGCTAGTGCTGATGCCATACTTTTCTTAGGTGCTACGGCTCGCAAAATTATCAGTCTGCCATTTCTTTTCTTTTTTCTTTTTTTTGGGAGGGGGAGGGGGTCTTCCTGTTGCCAACAAGAACTAAAATTAGTGCTGAGCTGCGATTATATCGCCAGCCATCATATTTATGATTGTTTCTGATTCCTTAGGGTTTGTTGGGAATGTTTGCTAATGTTAAAGAAGCATAATGCACACATCTCCAAATCAATATTAAAGTTTAAGTTCATCATTGCTAGATTTATGCAAATTTTTGCTTGTGAAACTGGCAATAGATACTAAGCACCTATTGGCACACTCTTTTTGTCCAATTTCAGTTTTTTCAACCTAGGCCAATGTAACTGCAGTATAAGCAGTATGAATTGCCTGTGTGCCACCTATTACATTACCACATGTTTTATACCTATAATACTTTCCCCTTTCTGTCGCTCCAGTTAACTTATGTATGCTTGCCAGTCAGGACCTGACGAAAGGACTATTCCTGGAAATACTATTGCTGTTCAAGCTGACATGCCTTTTAGCGGTCTTACAATATTTGGGACTGCATTTTTATCCAAGTTTGAGTGCTCTCAGATGCGACATCCAGTAAGATTTAATTTTGATGCAAGTGAAAACCTAAAAGGCATGTAATCTGGAAACTGATACCAAACATTTACCTTGAAGCTGCTAGAGCATATCACATTTGTTGACACACCTGGTGTTCTTTCTGGTGAAAAGCAACGCACGCAACGCAGCTATGATTTCACTGGCGTGACATCATGGTTTGCTGCGAAGTGTGATCTTATTCTTCTTCTGTTTGATCCTCATAAGCTTGATATCAGCGATGAGTTCAAACGTGTCATTGGATCATTACGTGGACATGATGACAAAATACGTGTAGTTTTGAACAAGGCAGATCAAGTAGACACTCAACAGGTAGTATTTGTGGATCTTTTTGTGTCTTAACTCGTGATGGGACATTTTTTCTTTGTTTTGCTCTACATATTAATAGTCCTTTTCTCATTGACATGCAGCTTATGAGAGTTTATGGTGCATTGATGTGGTCTCTTGGGAAAGTATTGAATACACCTGAGGTTTCACGTGTTTATATTGGGTAACTTCTGATACCCTGATCTTCTTTATTTCACTATTTGGTATTTTATGATGGATTACATAAGATCTTCAAATTGTAACTTCAAAATTACTAGTAGAGTATTGATGTATTTCGTTTACTTTATTAAAGCTTGACTCGGGTATTACTGGATTTCTCCAACAATAGTATATTTGAATCTTGTTCTGGTATTGACCTTAGATCATTCAAGTGCCTGCAAATCATTCAAGTAACTTCCATGTTTGTTTGTAGATCATTCAATGACAAACCAGTAAATGAATCAGCTGTTGGTCCACTTGGAAAGGAACTATTTGAGAGAGAGCAAGATGATCTCCTTTCTGATCTCAAAGATATCCCCAAGAAAGCCTGTGATCGTCGGGTAATTTTTTTTCTTTTTTCTTTCCATGTGTTTTTTGAGTCCTAACTAATTAGTTTTTGCATATTGACATCAGTATTCTGTGCCTGCAGATCAATGAATTTGTTAAACGTGCTAGAGCTGCCAAGATCCATGCTTATATAATAGGCCATCTAAAGAAGGAGATGCCTATAATTATGGGCAAAGCAAAAGCCCAACGACGACTCATAGACAATCTGCCCGATGAGTTTGCAAAGGTATGTATTTTGAGGTTCTGAACTTCTCTAGTCGATATAGGATCATTGTAGATTGAAGAGCCGCAGAGGTCCTTGCTTATGTTGGCAACTTAGGATGGAAGTTTTGTCTGTCAGATGTCCTCTTACCACTCCTTTTTTTTTTGCGTATCATGGCCTCGTGCCTTGTTTCACCTAACCAGCTTGCACCTTAAGTTTCGATTATTTTACTACTTTGCGCATTCTGAAATAGTGACAATAAGAGCTGGTTGAGTTTGCCGATGGTGTGAATTCTGGTCTCTTCCTGTTTCATTTCAGTTACAGTGTCCTCTCTTTTCTTTTACTGGATGTCATGTGAAGCATTCACTTACATATCCTTTCCATACAATTTTCATGCTCTAAGCAACAACTGCTGTCTGGTGGAATAGGTGCAACGGGAATACCATCTTCCGTCGGGAGATTTTCCTTATGTGGAGCACTTCAAAGAGGTCTTGAGCGGTTGTAGGTTCGACAAGTTTCAGAAGGTCAAGCCCAAGATGATACGGGCCGTGGATGATATGCTTGGATATGACATTCCAGAACTTCTCAAGAACTTCAGGAACCCATACGAGCCACGGCTACGCGCCCGGTTATGAAGTCCACGAGATGGAGGAGATGGAAACAGCGGTGGCTCCCCTTTCACGGGACCTGATGGACAGGATAGAAGGCATAGTTGTAGCACCCGGTTTTAAGAACAAAACCAGATACACATCATATGTGAGCCCGATCCTTCGGCAAGCTTTAATCTTCAACGCACTTCTTTTTTATCACCACGGATATCTCATTGACTGGACGTAATCATAAAGCACCACACAAACATTCGTACAATCATACACGAAGCAAACAATAGATCTAAATTAGAACAGTACACCAAATATAAAATCAAGATGAAAAGTTTGTGAAATAAATCTACGTCCTGCTACGAACACACTGACGCGAAAAGCACTCTAATCGGAGCTACGATGAAAAGGATACATCTACCGAAGGATTTGCTCATAGGAGAAAATATATAACTATTAGCTTCATATGTTTTAATTATATAAAAACATATATAAGATATTTTAGAGATACTATAATTTAAGTAAAATTTAGATTTGGATTATAAAACTAAAGTAAAACAAATCATATTTTATTTATAAAGCCCAGTTGCATAATTATTAATCAAGATATGATTTAAACCATGAAATTTTAGAAATAGTAATATGGTAACCACCGTTACTAACACATATATCTCATTGCTATGAATCTAACGCAACTTGAATGAATCAAAACAGAGCTAAAACGTAGAAGATATGAAATAAACAAGATTTTTTTTATTAAAATAATAAATTAATCTAACCTCGAATTTTAAAAGGTAAAAACATATATAACAATAGTATAAATATGTAGGTTATGAAATTACGAACCTAACGCAAGTTGAACGGGTCAAATCGGAGTTAAAATGGAGAAGTTATGGCTAAACCAAAATTAGTGGCAAAACTATAAATAGGTGAAAACGTATTTTGGATCTAAACCGACGAAACTACGCTTTCCAAAGAAGAAAACGTAATATGTGATTGCGCCTTAGACCACGGGTTAATTTGTCGAAAATGCAAGGGCTCTTTAGCAAAAAGAACAGCGAAAGGGTATGTTTTAATCTGGGCCATAGATCTTAGATTGAACAGCTCAGCATGATTGTGTATTTCTATTGTATTTCAGGATTTATTTTTTTAAAGGAAAACGGTCACAAATAGAGCACGACGTTGGAAATGATGTGACCAAGCTAGCTAGCAAATTAAATCACGGCAACGCATGCACGACTCACGGTTGGTGCATCGACGCAGCAGCGTTCTTGCGCATGCGTGCAGAGGGAGCGCAGGGAGCTGCGCGCTCATCTCGGCTGTGGCCTGTGGGTCAGGCACGGCGCCGCTGGATCAGTTGGCACTGGTGTGGGAGGCGGTGGCGCCATTGCTAACGAACTGGAGCTCGGAGGACATCGTCACAAGCACGGGGAGAGACGAGGAAGCACGGAGTACTCACCTAGGTCGTTCGTGGCGGCTCGGAGGAAACGGGGACGTCCTAGTGCTCGACAGGACGGCTCTGTCGTCCTAGATGCGAGACTCGGCATTGGTCTAGGCACGACGGCGAAGCAACAGAAGGCGTCCGCGGCGACGGCTCGAGCGAAGGGCGGCTACGGCTTGGCTTCCAAGCTGGACGACGAGGCAGCACGGGGTCCTGGCCCATATTTATGAGTGCTGAGAAGCTTGCGGCGCACGGCAACAAGGAGGCGGGCCGGACACAAACTCTACGGCGGTAGAGTCCATACCGGAAACGACGGCAAGGTAGAAGAAGCGGCTGACAAGTGGGTCCCCCTGGTCAGCGAGAGAAGAGGAGAAGGGGAGCGGCGGCCTCCGCGCTAGGCTGGTGACTGCGCGGCTTCGCTTTGACTGGGCCGGCCCACGAGCGGAGCGCGGAGTAAAGGGAAGAGGGAGCAGGTGGCGCTGGGCCGATGCGGGGATGAAGAGCTGGGCCTGACTTTGCTGGCTGCACGGTGGAGCGGAGCTGGGCTGCGCAGGACGGCTTCCAGCAGGGAGAGGGGAGAGAGAGGAAGTTAAGTTTGTTTTTTTTCATTTTAAATGGTTCTCAAATCCATTTGAATCATTTTAAATTTTAGACAAAGACACACATTCTAATAATTCCAATGCACCAGCATGTATGCACAAACATGTTGTTAATCCTTATATTTGATTTTAATTTTAACAAAGTTTTTATTATATATTTTTTCTAGGTTTAAATGCTCACAAAATACCAAATTAAATCAAATTTATCTATTTTAAAACCTTACAAATTTTAAGGTGTTACAATTCAACCCCCCTTAAGATGAATCTCGTCCTCAAGATTAGGAAGATAGTGATAAAAGAGATATGGATACTCTGTCTTTATTCGATCCTCTTTTTTTCCAAGTTATATTTTCCATTAAGAGCCATTCTAAGATCCTGGTTGGCTAATCTGAATAAGCATGACCGTCTCTCGTATTGAGATCCTTCAATGGTGTTTGCTCCTTTACACTGACATCTGAAAACTCACAGTCCACTATACTATCCTCACAGGATGCACCTTCTAATAGGTCATTCTCGTATTCTTCACGTGCATGTTAAATACCTTCATAGTCAATTCTTTCTCCTGACGGTGTGGTTAGAAGCACCGAACGCTGGGCATACTTAATCACTCCTTTACAAGAAGATAACCATCCATTTCTAAGGATAACATCAATGTCCATTAACTCCAAGACTATAAGGTTTGCCACGAAGTTCTTTCCTTTTATGTTAAGACTAACTTTTAGGCATAAGTGGTTTGCCTTCTTTTCTCCTTCTAGAGAGTTAACTATTATGGGTTTTCTTATCGGAAGCATAGTTATCTTATATTCTTCCACATATTCCCTAGAGATGAATGAATGTGATGCACTGGGGTCAAATAACACCATAGCAGTGTCTGAGCTTACTGCAATCAAACCATAAACGATCTCCTTAGCTCCATGAGTGGTAATCAGACCCACATTGTTCAACCAGCCTTGAATGTAGTTTCTCTTTAACTTATTGCCTTGCACCTGCTCCTTATGGATGTTCTGTTCTGACTCCTGCTGCTGTTGATTCTGGCTTCGATTACTCTCAGCAAACTTCTTAAAACAATCGTTCTTATAGTGTTTCATCTCACCATAATCATAACCTTCCTTACTAGTAGAAATATTTATCGTTATCAAGGTGATAGTGGGAGATGACAGACATGGCTCATGAGAACTAAAATGCTGCACTTCATTATTAGGTTGATGATACTGATCTTGATCATTACTTTTAAGCAGATTCATATGGTGTGACTGATATTCTGGTTGTGTAGCGAAACAGAGACGAGTATTTCTTAACTGGCGTTGAAGATCACGTTTTCTCTTCTTCTCTTCCATCTCTCGACGATTGTTCTCAATTACAATTGCTCTGTCCACCAATGTTTCATAGTCGGCATATACCACGGTCATCAGCTGTAGTTGCAAACCATCATTCAGTCCTTTCAAAAAGCATTTTTGGTTTTTAGCATCATTATCCACCTCTTTTGGAGCATAACGTGACAATTGAGTGAACCGGTTATGATACTCACACATTGACATAGATCCTTGCTTCAAGTTGAGGAACTCTTCTTACTTAAGTTCTACCTCACCTAACGGGACATGGTAGGACCTGAAATTCTCCTTGAATTCCTGCTAGGTGATAGCATGAGCATTGTCGGGACGCCCATACTCAAATGACTCCCACCAATCCTGGGCAGTTCCTTGCAGTTGACCGGAAGCATAAAGCATCTTTTCATGGTCATCACACTGAGCTATGTCCAATTGTCGCTCCACAGCTCTAAGCCAGTCATCAGCTTCTAGTGGTTTGCTTGTATGAGAGAATATCGGTGGATGTCCCTTCATAAACTCACTACGCTTGTTAGTAGGTGGCGCTTGATGCGAGTTATTCAACACATTTTGAGCAATAGTCTGTAATAACTGAGTCTGCGTTATCAAAGCTTGCTCTATAGATGGGAAATTGGATGGCGGTGGATTAGAATTGGCAGGATTCCTTCTAGCACCTTGTGAAGCACTTCTCCTGGTAGCAACCATCTGTTTTTAACATGTATAAATTAGAACTCAGTCGTTCATAACATCCTTAATTGTAGCTTCAAGAGATGACAAGATAGGATTGATGGCAATTGAGACAAGAGAACACCAAACCCCAGAGATAACTAATATTCCCAAACGAAGCCTAGAATATAAGAAACTTCATCTTACAAATCCTTCAACTTAGCTACCCCCTTAAGAAAAGATAAAGTAGGGGACACAATAGGGTAGCTTCCATCTTCTTCTAGATGAACTAGCTAGTATCAAGACGTCCTGACATCCCAATGAGACCCTTGTGTATGGGTAGGAACAAGAAATCTGAAATTCCTCGTTAGCAGAAAAACAACAACGTAGTAAAACGGCTGTAACTCTTATTCTGTTAATCCAATGAAGTTGTATCTTATACCGTTGGAAAGCTTATCAAATTCTCCACAACTTCCTTATAAAACACTTTTCCAAATTTTGTAGTTTAGGTGGTCGAAAATAGTGCACAACAGAAACTACTCCAGATTCCAAACACCATAGATGCATCGCATTGTGATTTTTGTATCTCCACAACCAAAATAGCTATCAAGCTGATTCTTGCGCTCAGAGAAAGATATTGAAGTCTACTATTGTCCAGAATTTTCTTATGATTTATGATCATCCAAAATCAGAGATATAAGCCGAAGAGTGTTGGCTGCTCTGAAACAACAGGATAGGGAAAATAGAGGAAAACCATAACTCAACTATTTATTTCACTAATCCTTATACTTTAGTCCTATAAAGTAAATGAAATTGTGGGAACACCCAACAAGATCATTGCAATCATTACAAAAATCCAAAACAAGCATAAACATAATGACAAATCAACAAACAATAAAGGTGCACAACTCAATCATCGATTCAACTCGCGATACTATCGTCCTCGTTGTACTAGGGGTAACAATCCTAAGACTCATCTTCAGATTACGCAAGAAGGTGATGAGGGACAGTTCTAAAAGCATATCAAATCAAGGAGTGAAGATGAGAACAAAGACATTAAAATAAGCACCAAGGTAGAGATGAATAGCAAGGGTAGAGATATAGTAGAGAAGAAAATATCAAGGTTCATAGAGCAAGGGTTTTTGTAGCAACTTCTAAACCTTAGAACGACCAGTTTCTACTAGACTTGCGTCCTACAGTCAGCGTTGCTCTGATACCACTTTGTAGCACCCGGTTTTAAGAACAAAACCAGATACACACCATATGTGAGCCCAGGAAGTCAAATCTCATATATAGCTACAAATAAGGGTAATATCAACAGACAATGCTTAAATACATAACGTATTAATGTACAGAATGTAACCTCGGAGTATAGACAGCGGAAATACAACTTCGATCTTCAGGCGAAGACTCCAAATCCACAGGGACAACTGACTGGTTGATCACAAGCCTAATTCCTCCAAACTCTAGCAATCTGGTATCTATCCGGGATTTTTCCAAAGATTTAAAGAGTAAAGCAAGCATAAGTACATGTCGTACTCAACAAATATAACATGGGGTTCATGAGGCTCAAAAGGCTGACCCTGGTTAACTGCGATTAGCTTTTAATGAGTCATCATTTTAGCAATTGAGTAGCAATAAGTTTATCACAAGCCCGTATAAACACATGATCAGGTAAACATGAATAATGAATAGCATAAACAATAATCATTAGTGAGCATCTTTATCATTAGTATCATCAGTATTCATCATCTATTCCGTAAATGTTCCAAGGCCACTCGTGACCGTGAGCACGGTTGATATACCAGTTTTACACTCTGCAGAGGTTGTACACTTTCACTGTGAGTCGTGATTTACCCTTTCGTCCGAGGTCACGAGCCTCTTGACCCACTACCAAGGAAGGTCGGCAGGGTTCACTATGAAGCCTTTCAAAGGTTCATCTAACAAGTTAGGGCCGCTAAGGTTTCCCCATCAATAAGCATGAGCCCCCTCCAAGGAGTGACTAACAAAATACCAAGAAACCAAAGTGCACCCTCTTGGCAGGCCGAGATCATACGAACCAGAGCCCCTCTTGCGCCATAAAGGTAACCACTAACAAGCTAGAAAATGTCCTCATACTGAGCTAAAGCCAGAGCCATATAGCCATCACAGTTGTACTGTAAGTCCCGGATGATCACTTATAGATAAGTTCTTAGGGAGAGGAATCTAGAGCACCACAAAAATGGCCTAATGTTCTAGCCCCCTTGTTCTATGTTGCTAAAAACCATCTTTTAGTGTTTATTGCATATACCATTAGTCAAGTTACAAGATCATGGCTTTAGTTGAGCACTAGCATCATACTACCCAATGCAATACCCCATAGGTATCAAGGTACAAGGTAACAAAGTACTAGGAGATCCTTAGTGGCAGTCAAGGTAGACACATGCAGTATGAATTAAGTGATTAAAGGTGTATAGGATAACAAGGAAAATCCCATGCTATACTTGCTTTAAACACCGATCCTTCGGTAAGCTTTAATCTTCAACATTCTTCTTCTTCTTCTTTTTGATCACCACGTATATCTCACCGACTGGACGTAATCATAAAGCACCACATAAACATCCGTACAATCATACACGAAGTAAACTACAATCATACACG